AGGATTGTTTCGAGATTTAGGAACCACAAAATKGCTTCACTAAAAACTAAGCAGACTCTTATATCCAGAGATGCTTCAAGTAGCTCCATGAAAACTATTAAGGTTTATTGCTTTATCTACAACCAAACAAAAAAGTTCCAACTCCATGTTTTTGAGCTAAATTTACTCTGTCTTCCTGTGAGCTCTGTCGTTTCACACCATTACCTCGCAGAGCTTTATGCCAAGGCTGCAACAGCCCACATTCCATCTGATCATAGCTGTGTGTGACATTTCAAAGAGGATTATGAGAATGAAATGTGATAAAAACTATTTTCACGTGACCCTTGAGCACTTGACCTCTGCTAGGCCAGTGCGGCAAAGCACCGAGGTGCAGGCAGACCCACAAAGGGAAGAAAGAAAAAGAAGAAAAATGGACTGGATCCGACCTGAAAATCTGTTTGTTTTGACAAAACATCAAATCAGTAAGGCATCTAAATTTTGATCAATATGAAAAAAACAAATCTTATCAGTTGTAACAACAGATTTATGTTTAAAATTAACCACAACCRTACAAAAATGCCCACACATTCCCTCTCTTTCTCACACTCCCCCTTCTATTAATATATTTTTGTGTATTTGTTACTTGTGGCCAACATAAATAGCTTATGTACTCGAACATGTTGACAAAGCAGCCATGGCTCATTGCTGGTTGATGGATGGCTGTGTGCTGCCTTGCTAATTATTACTGCACATAAAAGGATGCTGTTTTTTCCAGACCAGAGCCCCAACCAGAGGGGTCAGCTGGTAAATACAGAGCCATCAGTCTGCAACTATATCACTCAATCTTGATGTATGGGCAACGAGGCACAAATTAGATGCATGGCAAACSTTTTGGGGGTGCGACACCCAACAGAACCCAGTTTGAGCTAATTTTGTGGACGAGTTTCAAACAATACACCACTATAAAACATGGAGTAATGACTTTGTGCGCACACATCTGGAATCAGGCTCCTGGAGGAAATGAATACGCTTTAAAACCCTTTTTTAGGTGTGTAGACTTCAGCATGTGGAGGCAACAAATGCATTATGGATGACTTGAAACACCGCCTTGGGTCTACGTCTCAATTTTTTTCTGACCTGTTGCAAACTTCAGTTTGGAAAAATGTTTAATTTTGATCAGATTGGTAAGATAAACACCAAACAGAAAATGTGTGGGAAACTTAGCAAGCACAATTGCAACAGCATCAGCCAGCTGTAGCACTTCCTGTGCAACCTTGTGCCATTTTAGAATGTTTCTGCTGAAATAACTAATGCACAACTGACAGAYATAAAGGTTTGTAAAATATTGTTTGCATGAACCGTTATGAATTTTTAATTTAGACCAATCTACTTTCAGCTTATTAGTAGGGCTGCAACGATACAGTAAATTTACGATTCTGTTCGGTTCGATACTTTAGTCTCACGATTCAATATTTTTTCGATACAAGAAAGAGAAATTTCCATGCCCCTTTTAACTTGTAATTTATTCATATTAATTATGAACATTTGTTTAACCTCAAAAGTACAGTTTTTAAATTAAACGTTGCTGAAACAGCAAGTTTCTCAGTGGATCTGTGCTCAAAAATGCAGCCTAGGTGGAGTAGTCGAACACAGAYCCACTGATCCTTCAACACAGAGCAGCTTCAGAAGACAAGTTGATGAAGTAAATTTAAAAAAAACTGTATTGTTTGATACAAGTGTTTATTGAAACTAAAGCACTGTTCGATACGGTTCGATACGGGTACATGTATTGTTGCAGCCCTACTTATTAGATGAGCCATTAGGTCATTATTGAAGTCAAAATAAAATGATATTTCTCTGAAATGAGGTTGTTCGAGGAGTTATCGACAACAGGTAAGATATTAATTGTTCATAACATGTCTGCAAGACCCTACTTTAAAAGATCCACACTATTACTTTAAGGCAGATGTCTTCAGCTTTGTTCCTAGTGACTAAAGGTCCTGCATGTTTTAGCTGTTTCCCTGCTTTGGCACACTTGGTTGAAATGATTAAATCACCCATTCAGAACGCCATCAGTCAGTTGTGTCGAAACAGGAAAAACATCTAAAACAAGTAGGACATTGGGCCACGAATATCAAGGTTTAAGGTGGATCATTACCACTGAAAACAAAACAAAACATTTTTTTTAAAACTTGGGATTCCTTGTTTTTGAGCTGTTTTTCCACTTTCACTGACTTTCTGCTTTAATTACCCCAATCTTACTAGAGCCCCACTTTTCAGATCATTTCTCTTTGTGACCAGCTGTGGGAGTCATGATTGTTTCTGGACTTTACAGCCGCTCACACAGTAAAGTAACTAAGTACAAATACTTCTTTACTGTACTTAAGTAGAATTTTTGGGTATCTGTACTTTACTTGAGTAATCATTTTTCAGCCTGCTTTTTACTTCTACTCCTTACATTTTCACACAGTTATCTGTAATTTCTACTCCTTACATTTTTTTAAAAAGGGCAAAAAGTATAAAGTTGTTAGTTTTAGTTCATTTTTGCTTGTTTTAATTCACATTGTTATTAAAAGAAATACTGTAAAGATAAACTGTGCCTCCTGGATAGAGTGAATGTAATTGTGGTTGAATGAGACATATAAATATAGATATATTTTTACACCGTATTAGTTTGTACACAGTCCATCACAGCTGCACCACACACTCCAGCAGGACAGATCAGACCTATGTAACCTGAAGATGTATGTGGTATATACATATATAAATATGTACAGTATATACCTGAAACAGCTACATTAGTGCATCCTAAAAATTTTTGTATTAATATTTTAATAGTCATTTAGAAAAACCTTTTTTAGGGGAGGCCACCTCCCAGTAAATATCATTTTGGAAAATCTAACCACTCATCAATACTTTTACTTTTAATACTTGAGTACATTTTATGTCAGAAATTTACTTTTCATACTTAAGTACAAAAAATATTAGAGGAGACTTTAACTTTTACCAAAGTAATTTTATAGTAAGATACTTGTACTTTTACTCAAGTATCACGTTGTGGTACTTTATRCAAGACTGCGCTCACATATAGCTGGATGTGAAGATTTGGGTCGGCGTTAGTTCCACAAAAACGAYCAAAATTGATGAACATGTTGAGAAGGCTGCTACGCTCCACCGACAGAAAGATGCTCAATGAGCAGAGAGAATAAATATCTTACAAATGTGTAAAACATTACAAAAGGACTGCTGCAGAAAAAGTGATTTAGTCTTTTCAAAGTTGCTTGCAGACATGATTTACCCTTTACGCTCATCTTTTTTACGTGGCTTTTAAAAAAGCATTTTAAAACTCAAATACAAATATTTATAGCTTTATTGATAGTTTACTTGTACAAGATGTACGTTCATATTTCATTAATCAAAAGGGGAGAAAAAACAAAACAACTGTACGATGAGTCATGTTTAGGCATGCTTGCATATGAAATGGAAATCATTTGAACGGGTACAACAAATTCCATGGAGTCTTGTTTTTAGCTCAAACATCCCTGAAATCTTTGTAAACTCAGACACGCTACATCTTTAGAATTATCCTTATTTGTTTGTTTGTTTTTGTTGTTGTTTCTTTTTTAAGCAAAACAAAGCACTACAGCCACACCTCCTATTTCAAAYTGAACACTTAAAAAACATACAAAAATAAATGCAAAGCCATGTAAAAATGTACACTTGTAGTTCATCTCTCATAAAACTTTCAGACAAATTAATAAATAAACACCCATATGTTTAATTTAAAGTGGAGACATTAGATAAACATTTTTTTTTAATGGAGGTCTGTTAACAAAAAGAARATATTTGGAGGATGTTAGAGGTACCTGAAACTGATCTACACTTTTGGCGCAGCGGGTTTGAWAAGCGATTCAGAAAGTACAAAGTTTGACTTATCTGGAAAATAATAATAATAAAAACATCACAAACTGCATGCAAAATTGATCTGATTATGTTGCAAATCAACTGGCTGGTTTAGGTTTTATTATGTTCATCGTCCAAAATGCCAACGTAAATTAGGCTTTTCAATGTTAGTAGAGCTGTTCAAATGTTAATTTTTGACCGTAAATTGTTGCAGAATCTAAAACTGTGCTCATGTTTCGCTCAACAGCTGTGCCTGGTGATACAAACCTATCTGAATTACACAAAAATATGGCACCTGATTGATTTTTCCAACAAATACCACTGAAGAACAAAACTCCAACAGTGCATGAGAAATAACAAAAAACTGAAAAGTCATTGGGATTTTTAGAATTAAAGATTAACTGTTAGCTGTTTTACTTCAGTTGTTGTTGTGATTGCTATTTACAGTATTGCACTTAAACTGCACACCATTGCATTTCAGTTTGACTGATGCTTTTTTTTTCTTCATTTTTTCAAAATTACAAAAAGGAAAAAAAAAAACATCCCAAATATACCTTTGTTGATCACACGAAAATATCAAAGCCCACTCCCACCCCCTTCAGTTTGTAAAGTAGTATCCGCTTGTAGTGCCGTTTCTTAACACCCAAGACCTGAAGTGCAAAGGCCACCTTCACGTCTTCACTCAAATACAACAAGATAGAAACAAAGACAGAGAGAGACCTGCGAGGGGAGAGGATGCAAACCAAGTCCTGCCATCAACAGAGMAACATGTCGCTCTCCACTTCAGCAAAGATTCTAAGGAAATTGTCGCTTTTACTACCGCACAAGTCCATAAGGTTGTGATGGGGTTGTTTCACTGAAAGCGTCGGATGGCAGTGTTAAAAAGCATCAGTCCCACAGCGGTCCTCCTTTAATCATGCACTTGGCAGCAGCAGGGAACACAGTGGTTGGAAACAAATATGGCCGCTTTTTAATTTCATTTTTGTTTTGTCTTTTTAAATGTTTCCTTTTATTTAGGGAGGGAGTGGGGAGGGTTTGTAAAGGTTGGAGAGCCATTCCATTAGCACAGGGAGGTGGTGTGTGGGTCTGTCCCCCACCCCCCCACCCCAGCACTCAGCCCTCCACGCATCAACAGACCCTGCTGCTGCTCGCCAGTTTTGCTTTGTTCTAACGTCCTCTGGCCTGATGGCTCCCCGGCCCTCGGGGCCCTCAAACAGACATCCACATGTGTTTGTACGGTCCTTGGGATGTGATCTGTGCCTGGAGTGGACTGAGCCACTGGCCCCGCAGAAGTCCTGCCTGTTGGGCGAAAAGTGAAAGGTGATTTCATTGGTAGTTAATTACCGTTCTCTACAAGTGGTTTGTTTTGGCAGCTGGTTTTGTGACAATTTTCTCGCTCCCTCCATTTTTTTATATATATTTTCTTCCACTGTTCTCCCACACCCCACTTCTTCCTCCTCCTCTCTCCCACACACACTCCCTCTCCCCTCCCGCTCTCTCTCTCTCTCTCTCTATCTCTCTCTGTGTCTGTATGTGTGTCTGTCTTTCATTCCCCCCTCAGTGTTTTTGTTTGTTTTAGTTTTAGCTGTGAGTGTCACGGGCCTTTTCACAGGCTCAGTCTGGTGTTAGAGGCGATTATGGGCATCAGGCGAGCGGAGGGGGCAGCCCGGTGGGGGTCAGAGTCCCAGCGCCTCCGTGTGTTTTCTTGCCTTGAGTCGCAGATCTGCGATGCTCGAGTTCTTGCTGTTGCTTTTGGCTGCCGCCGCCACCGCCGCCGCCGCCGAGGCAGAGTCGGCGAGAGACGCGATTGGTAGTCCAAAGGGAGGGGGCGGGAACATCAGGTAGGGAGCGTGAGCAGCCAGGTGAGGGTGCAGGTGGGGGTGGGAGTGGGTAACGCCGTCCAACTGGAGTTGTGCTTGTACCTGCAGATAAAGAGAGCGTCAGTCAGTGAGTTGAACTTTCACAGTCTGCCACCATTAAACCCTCCCCCTCAGGGCTGCTGCTCACGCCGTGTTTTCTAAGAAAACAGTTAAGGCCCCGCGCTTCTTTTTCATGTTCCGCTTCTCAAAACTTAATGAATCATACATCGCTCTCAGACACCGCATCCAATTTAATCGTCAAGAATCAAAGTATTTCCAGGACCCAGAACAGATTTCTGTAATTCACATTGAGGATGCGGTTATACCCTTGGAAATACGCAGGCTTGTTATCCTGATTATGGATTCAATTGCATAAATAAACACTTTTTTTGCGCTAAAAAGATTTGGAGTTATAAATATTTATTCAGGCATATTCCTGAGTCAATAGGAAAAAAAAACACAGAAGAAACCAGAAGGAGCATAGGATATCAGTTTTCACATTCTTTGCAATTATTTTATGAGAAGTAGATGAAAATTAAGCATCAGTTGACTTCAGAGGGAGAGAGCTGTGCCTGTTGCCATTTCTCATGTGTTTTAAACGCTGCAGGAAAGATGGAGGGAAACTCGAGTGTCTCAAGCTTTCTTCTCCAACCAAAATAGGACTGTACACAGCTAAAGTTTTAACTTAAATGAGTCGTCTTTCTCTCACTTTGATTTCAGTTGAATTGGCATATTAAACACCACAATTTAAAAAATAAAAAAATCACGTAGTGAAATGAAAGGAAATATAACTTKGAAGCACAAGTTGCAAACAACAACATAAATCTCAACCATCAGGCAAGAAACTGCAGCACTGACTGATCATTTCCACCCGCTTGGTGCCACTGACGTCTAATTAAAATGTAGGAACRCTGATGAAGGGCTTGATGTGGCACAGGGGTGTCACTAGGTTTTAAGGACAAGGGGGGCTTAGCCCCCAGGAGACGCACAGCATTTTTGTATATTATACATTTGTAT